GCGAAGTTGGAATTGATTGATTGAATTTTTTTAGTCCCATTTCTTTTTTTTGTGGGACTACAAATGGCAGAGGAGGACTGGGAGCCGCAGTAGAAGGATGAAAGAGCCGCATGTGGCTCCAGAGCCACGGGTTGCCTACCTGTGCTTTAGGGCTTGTCCACCAGATATGGTAGTAAGTACCTGGTCTTTGTTTGCATTTCCAACATTTGTTTGAAGTATTTTTAAACATTTTTGCTAATCTCACTGGTGTCATATGCCATCTGTAAAACATACAAGTTTTCTTTATATGCCACTGCTTTAGTTAATTTTTCATTTCTTTCCCATAACTTTTGCCAGCTTTCTAATTCTATATTATATCTAAAGTTATTTGCCCATATTATCATTGTTTCTTTTACTTGTTCTTTCTCCATTTTTAAGCTTAGCAGATATTTATAGAGTTTCTTAATCAATTTTTCATCTGTTTTTAACAGTATCTGGTTAAATTCTGTCTGTTCTTTATAAAATCCCATTGTTTTAACATCTTTTTCATATCTCGTTTGGATATCTTTATAGGTCACAACTTTGTCGTAGTTAATTAAATTTGGGTAAGCAAAAGCTTCCATTGTTGAAAACCATCCAGGTATATTGATGTGAATTTTTGCTTTTATTTTTTCGGAATTTTTCCATGTTTAATATAACATATAACTTGTATAATTCAATTAAAAAAGAAACTGAAATCTTTTAGGGGGAAAAACAACAATTAAAATATACAATAACGTGGTTGCATAATTGTGCACACCTTTAAAATGATACTTTGTTGAAGCACTTTTTGATTTTATGACAGCATTCAGTCTTTTGTGGGTAAGAGCCTATCAGCACATCTTACCTGGGGAATCTTTGCCCATTCTTCCTTGCAAAGTGCTCCAAATTTGTCAGATTATGAGGGACTTTCTCATGTGCAACCCTACTCAGGTCCCCCTGAAGTGTGGGCTCCGGATGGGCCATTCCAAAACTTTGAACTTCTGGTGAAGCCATTCTTTTGTTGATTTGGATGTATGCTCTGAGTCATTGTGTTGAAAGGTGAAATTCCTCTTCATCTTCAGCAGAGGCCAGAAGATTTTGTGCCAAAATTGTCTGATATTTGGAACTGTTCATAATTCCTTTTATCTTGACTAAAGCTCCAGTTCCAGCTGAAGAAAGCAGCCCAAAGGATAATGCTACCATCACTATGCTTCACCGTTGACATGGTGTATTTTTGGTGATGCACAGTATTGTTTTTGTGCCAAACATACTTTTCGGAATTATGGCCAAAATTCAACCTTGATCTCATCAGATCATAACAAATTTTCCCATATGCATTTGTCAGACTTGATGTAGATTTTTGCGAAATGTAATTGGGACTGGATGTTTTCCTTTTTAAGAAAAGGCTTCTGTCTTGCCGCCCTACCTCACAGGCCAAACATATGAAAAATACATGAGACTGTTCTCACATGTAGTACATAACCAGTACTTGCCAAAAAAATCCTACAGCTCTTTTTTTAAAAAAAAAAAAGTTTTATTGGTTTTTTCATTTTACAAACAAGTGCTTAAGAAACAACGTGGTGGCAGGGCAATCAATTGTCCACAAAACAAAGTCATATTCAAAAAGTTCAAATTAAGTCATTAAAAACCTCCTCTTTTTTCCCTCTAATGACATATTATATTCAAATTGATATATTACAATACAACTAAATCAATCATAGCAATCCTCAATAATCTTTCGTCTAAATAAATCTACAAATCCGAATCCTGTATTGAGTTTGTCTATTTCACTTACTATGTTCCATATTTCTAATCTAAATACCTAGTTAACACTTCGGGGGTCTCTCCATAACCTTTTTCCTTAACATATTCAATAAGCATTTATTAGTATCATTTCATCCTTTTTTCTTATTCCTCTTCCATTACAAATAACTATCAATTCTAATAAAAAAAGAAAATATTAATTCAAATAAGAAAGGGAAAAAAAGAAGAGAAAAACAAAACAAAAACAAAGACAAGACAAAAAATGAAAAGAGAAAAAATACCTTTCTATTTCTATTATTATTTAAAATCTAACAATCAATCCCTCAATATCTGTATCAAATTTCTTTAACGTCCTCCCAAAATTACTGTATCCAAAGCATATTAATACATAAACAAAACAAGTTATTATTAAGTTCAAACCTTAATTAGTTTTTATTCAATCTAATCTCTTATTTAACTGTTTTAAACCATAAATCAATCCATATCTGATAAGCCTTTTAAACCCATTACCTAAAACTTTAAGTCACATCCTTAAATCTTATTCTGGCTTTCCTTTTATGCCAAATCGGTTTCCATAACAAGGCCTCTATATCAATGAACAAGTCACTCTTTATGCCTTGTAAAATCCTTTGATTCAACCAGAGATGTCCTCTTTTCTGTTGTAGAGACCTAGCTCCTTTGTAGGTAGTCCCTTGTTTTGAAAAGTCAAATCTCCACATTTGAAACTGTTGAATAGCCAACTCAGTTATGTCCAACTTTGTAGATGATAGTTGTTTATCCAGGCTACCATAATTCTCAGCTCGTTGTATTTGTCTGTCCATTTCTATTGGTTTTAAGGATGTAAGTGAATTACTTACAATCCTTTTTGGTTCCTCAGAGATCTCATCCGTACGCATATAAAGTAGAATAAAGTCTTCTTTACCTTTGGTTAGTCCCACTTCTGTTGTTTTTTGGTCTCTAGAAAGCTCAGATAAGGTCTGGGAGTCAATTTGTTGATTCAAAGCAGAGTTTCTGTTTTTTATTTCCATAGTAAATTCTTTTATTTGCAAACGTATTTCATCAGTAGCTTTGTAAAGTTTTTCCAGTATAAGTTTATAGTCAAGTTGAACCAAGGGTTGCTCCATTTCAAAAATAATTAGAAACATTCTGTATCATTTAGTAGAGGCTATGTAGAAAATATTTAATCAATGTCCACCCCCACCAGTACAGCTGTTAATTTTCTTTGTATTTTTCCTTTTGTGGTAATCTGAAAGTCAAGGTCAATCTGAGTCACCAGAAAAAGGGGAAAGCTGCAATTTTAGCTTCTTCCACAAGGTGTCCTCAGTACAATGTAAAATCTTCTCCCATAGACCAAGAATCTCATAAACAAGATCAGGAAACACGGAGGGGAAAAAAGCAATTCAAGTCCAATAGCAGATTCAATATTAAAAGGTTTTCCAAGACCCCAAAGTGAAAAGAAAAAAGAATAAAAATAGAGGTTAAAAAAAAGTCACTTTTAAATTAATTCAATCCATAAGCTTCTTTTTCCCACACTCACCAACGCCGCCTTCTCAGAGCAGGGAGGTAATTTCAAAATTGCTTTTTACAGGCACAAAAAAAAAGGAAAAATCAAAAGAGGGAAGGTAACAAGTCTCACCCAGCTCAGCCACGGTGGTTCCTGTGCTTAGATGTTCTTCTGACTTCTGGTTTCAGCGGCTAGGTGAACAGCCATTTTACCAGCTGTTCTTTCCACTGTCGGCCCAAAGGAGCAAATCTCGGTCCCTGGAAGAAGCTGCCACTCTCCCAAGGACAACGAGGACCTCCTCCAAGGCGGCTTTTCGACCCAATTAAGGGGTCTACCGGCAGCAGAGAATCAGCTGGTGGGGAGAACAGTCTCCTCATACAGCTGCGAGCGCCGTAATCCGGAACCGGAAGTCAAAATCCTACAGCTCTTTTAATATTGCTGTAGGCCTCTTGGCAGCCTCTAGGACAGTTTTCTTCTTGTTTTTTCATCATTTTGGAGGAATATCCAGTTCTGGCTAATGTCACTGTTGTGCCATATTTTCTCCACTTGTTGATGACTGTCTTCATTTTGTTCCATGGTTGGAAATTTTTTTGTACCTGACTGATACCTTCCAACAAAGAGATGTCTTTGATGCTTTGGAAGCTCTTTGCAGACTATGGTTATTGCTGTCAGAGGCAATTGAGACAATGTCAAAAAAATTTTTACTAGAACAGCTGAACTTTATGTGGGCTTAATCAGAGTCATTTTAATTAATAGTTGGTGTGTACTGTGTATTTACCATAGTTTGAATGTGATTGGCTAATTGTAAACACAGTCACATCCCTGCTTATAAGAGAGTATGCACATTTATGCAACCATCTTATTGTATGTTTTTTATAGTTACTTTCCTCCTAAAAGATTTCAGTTTGTTTTTCAATTGAATTATGTGTTACAGTATATATAGTCTGTAGTATATTATACTAAAGGTGGAAAACATTCTGAAGTGACTTATCTTGGTCTGATTTTTTTTTTATGTTTTAAAAACCTGGCATTTTAACAGGGGTGTGTAGACTTTTTGTGTCCACTGTATTTGAATCAACAATACTTATGTCAGCTGAGAAAGATCAGTTTTAAAGCATAGAATAACTGTTATGGTTTGTATGATCTATCACAAAACACACCAATTTTCCAGAAGAAAAACTAGTGTGGATGTTGCCCTTTATTTCCTTTAGCTGGTTGTATGATTGTAATCTCAATTTACTGTCTTCTGAGTAGGTAGGCTCATTTTCAAATAGAGCATTGCATTTCAGCCTCCTACATTCTAACTTGCTTCCCCCCCAGTTTAAAAAAAGAGGTTTATTTAAACAAAATTACCACTGGGGACATGGAGCCTGGTGGATGCTTAGTGAGATTTCTAGGGACACATCGGCACTCAAAGGGATAACATTAGGGATCCAGATTCTAATATATTAAGGAATCTGTAATAATATAGCAAACTGTTGTAATAGATTGCAAATTATTAGCCCATCCTCTTTTAGACTGACAGTTTAAACTCATACTGCCTTTTAGATTGCTTAATTTATAAATTGCAAGTCTGAAAATAATTATGAAACATTGGTCGATATCAGTATGTGCTTTTTTATCAGTTGTTCATAGGAAAATATTTAAAAGGAAACACCCTTTGAATTAATATTATTTTGATGTTATGATAGCTTTCCTAATTGATATGTATAAAACTCTTCTATCTTTTTCAGAAGATGATGATGATGACGATGACGATGACGATGACATATATGAGGATGAGGACGAAGACGAGGATTCACTTTATGCTTTGTTTGTAGGAGGGAAAGATGAAAAAGATGAAATTAGTGGAGAGGTTGGTTTAAAATATTGTTTTCTCTTTACTCTGCAGTAAAATGTTTATGCGTATTTATCAAACTGCAAGAAGAGTAGCTATTCTTATGACTACTACTAGCACTACTACAAGCATACCATCGCACCCCCCAATGTCTTACCACAGTCAAACAAAGAAATTACAATAAAATCAGTGAAACATAAAAGTTGGATGGCAAGTGTGGTGAAGCGAAGGATTTCCCTCTCCCTTACCAAACGTCTGGGGGAAGAGCCACATCTTCACAGCTCTTCTAAAACAACTGTAGAGTGGGGATCATCTGTATTGTGAGGGGAACCTTGTTACAGAGAACAAGCACTGCTATAGAAGGTGCACTTCTGAGATCCCAATAGGCGATATTGTTTAATCAGTTAAAGCTGGAGCATGCTGACCCTGCAGGATCAAATCAGCTGGGCAGATGGCTATGAGAGACAGGTATTTCCTCAAGTAACCAGGCCTATGCCATGTAGGGCTTTAAAGGGTTTTTTTTTATAGAGAGAGTGAGCCAACACCTTGAATCGTGACGAAAAGCAAACCGGTAACCTGTGCAACTCACAAAGCAGAGGTATTAACATTGGCATCCCAGTGCTTGCCCTTTACTGCTCACACTGGGTTCTGGAGCAGTTCAAGCTTCTTAGCAGTCTTCAAGGCAGTCCCATATAATGTGTTACATTAGTAAAACGTTAATTGCATGAGTCAAGCTCCAAGCTGACGTGGGCCTAGATGACTTATCTGAAGGATTCCCTGATCTAGGACAAGGCTTTTCAACCAGCGGTACGGGTACCACCTGTGGTACATTGGCACCTAACAGGTGGTACGCGACCATCGTAGAAAAGTGGTAGCAGGGGAGGGGAATGAGTTGAACCGGTGGCAGCACCGCACAAGCCTGAGCGAGAGATGGCTGGAGCTGCAAGGCTGTCAGGGCTCAGCGGAAGTGCTAGGATCAGCGCCAGGCTCCAGCTGTAGTTCACACTGATCCTGACGCTTCTGCTGAGCCCAGAAGAAGCACCGATCAGCTGGAATGTTGCAGCATCTCCAGGGTCTTGTGATTTGTATGTTAGATGCTTGGCAACTGATTCATATTTATGACAGTCACAGTGTCCCAGGGTCATGTGAAATGACCAAAACCTGCTGCAACCACCCAGCAGACGGGGGGAATAAAAACCAAACACCCCCCCCCACCCCACCCCTGCTGCCAATCCTCAACAGAAATGCTCACAGCAATGAAAACCTCGGATAGGAGGAAGAGCGCCGCCAGGTGGGCAGGCAGGTATCTTGCTCGGCACTTTTTTCAGTGCCATTGTAACTTCGAACAGTCACTAAGCGAACTGTTACAAGTCGAGGACTACCTGTACTTCATCACTTTTTTCCTTTTGGGGGAGGGGTCATCAAGTTGCTAGGCGACTGGTGGTACTTGGATGTTGCCATACCCTAAAAGTGGTACAATGGGTGAAAAGGTTGAAAAGCCCTGTAGGAAACATAGCAACTGGTGCCCCTGATGCATTTATGGAAAGCCATCACGGTCATAGCTGCCACTTGCTCTTCAGGCAGGAGCTGCAAGTACAAGAAGGCTCCTAGATTGTGCACCAACTTCAAGGGAAAATACTACCCTATCCAAAGTTAAAGAGGGAATATTTCCAGATCTGGTTGTCTCAAACACCTACATCCACTCGATCTTGGTAAGATTGAGTCAGATATGGTTCTTCTCCTTTCAAACAAAAACAGCTCCCAGGCACTTGGACAGAACATTGACACCCTTACTTGGCTGGTCTGGGATCGAAAGATATATGGGTAGTCCTCGACTTACGACCACAATTGAGCTCAAAATTTCTGTTGTTAAGCAAGACAGTTGTTAAGTTAATTTTGCCCCATTTTATGACCTTTCTTGCCACAGTTGTTAAGTGAATCACTGCAGTTAAGTTAGTAGCACGGTTGTTAAGTGAATCTGCTTCCCCATTGACTTTGTCAGGTTACAGAAGGTGATCACATGACCCCAGGATACTACAGCCATCATAATTATGAGCCAGCATCCAAATTTGGATCACGTGATTTTGGGGATGCTGCAACAGTCATAAGTGTGAAAAATGATCATAAGTCACTTTTTTCAGTACCATTGTAACTTTGAATGGCCACTAAATGACCTATTGTAAGTCAAGGACTACCTGCAATAGGGTATCATCAGTATAATGATGTTGAATCCAAACCCACCAGTTCATGTAGATAAGGAACAAATTGATACCTGAGCAGCTGAAATAATGAACCTTGGTTTGTTCTGTTTATGTTCTTGTTGGTTGCTACTAACATGGTAGCAAACAATCGAAGGCTGGATTACAACATATTAGTATCAGTGTTTTTCTAAAAGGTTTTGCCCGCTGAGCAGAAAATGGGAAGCAGATATGATAACAGGAAAGCAAAGGTATTTAGTTTCAAAGGCAAACCTGTTGTTATTTTTAGGAGGAAAAGTCTGGGCATGACAGTGAAGAAGATGACGACGACGATGATGATGACGACGAAAAGGAAGAAGGTATGTGTTAATTTTTATGCCAGTCTTTTTATTTTAGAAAACCTTAGGAAGGTAAAAGTACTGATAAAAGTACCAGTGGAAAAAAACCGTGCAAGTTTGGAAGATGATAATAACGATGTGTTGGCTATTCAAGCCTGGAATGCAGGTAACCTGTATCCATTTGTTTGGCAACCATTATGGAGGCTTTTAAAAAAATAGACCTACACTCAAATTAGTTGTTGCAATATCTCTGTGGTCATATGATTGTGATGTGGCAGCTTGAGTGCCCAGCCATTGTGACCTGTCCCTACTGGATTCCAGAAGCAATCATTCCTTAGTCGTGTAACTGTATAAAACAACCATTAGCTGTTTTCTATATGTAGAGATGATTTTAAAAAAACCTTTCAGGTATTTTTAATTAAAACTGTTATTACACCCAATCAGCATGGTCAATAGGTAACAATTTTGGGAGGTTTCTAAAACTTCTTCCTTTATGGAGCCGGTAATAGGCTTGTTGGATGATTCAACTGAATATATATGTCCTTGGAATAGTCATCGTGGAATAATTTCTTTCTCGCTCTGCAGATGAAGAAGAGAATAGGAAAGGTGAAAAGCGAAAAAGAGAGACAGATGATGAAGGGGATGAAGATGATGACTAAAGTCTTCTGTGTCTCCAAAGGACTGTTGAGTATTTCTTGGGGTACCCCTTGGATGATCTGTGACTTGAGGAGCACGTGTGGCGCACCTGTAGTTCTCCCCCTCCAAGCGCAGCACTCAAAAAAGCCAAAGAGTCGGCTATTCCCGTGACATTCCATGTATCCTGCAGCTGATTTCTCCAGGTGGTTACAGACCTAGCCTTCTTGGGCTAGCACCTTCCCTTATCCTTTTGGGGGTTCCCAGGCCTTCATCTCTTCCCATTGCCCTAGCAAGAAGAACAAGTGTGATGGGCCAGTCCTGGTTATAGGGGCTCCACACCACCCACTGACTGTACTTCCCTTTTTACTCTCTGTGCAACGAGGCTTTGTAAATAGAGTCCTAAAGTTTTGGGGACTGTTCTTCATGCTTTGCTTTCCCTGCCTTTTTCCTTTTCTAAGCCGTTGGATATTTTTTACATTAGGATGTTTTATGCAACAAACAGAAAAAGTATTTTTAAGAACTTGAATTAAATAAACATTATTTGATAAACTAATCTTGCAGTTATTATATTCAGAGAGGTTTGAAAATCTGTGCCTTTTTTTTTTTGCTTAAAAGTTGGTAGACAGGGTTGTGAATATTCTGCATTTGTGAAATAAAACAAAATCTGGATTCTTTGATCTAGGAAGGTTGTTTAGGTTAGGTAATTTATTTTGCTAGGCAAGTAAATTAACCCAGGAAGCCTTGCTTCATCTTTCTCCCCAGCTTCACAGATTGCTGTATTACTAGTACAATTCACAGCATAAGTAAATTTAGAAAAGTAAATTTTAGTAAATTTGACTTTGATGTTAATGTGCTTCCAGCTTGTTGAGTGATCAGTTCCAGACTTGGAAGATTTTAGGTGTTCACAAAGGTTTTTATCTAGATGTGTTACTTATTCAAATATTATTGTTTGTAGCCAATGATGTATTTTTTTAGCTATTTTGCATAAGTATTTCAAATAGCCGAATACCTTTTCTATTAATTATCACCTTTCTTCAGCATATCCCAATAAGGACCAGCTCCATTACTATACTAGCAGTGGTCATAAAAGTTTTTTTTTTTTTTTGCAAAGCCATGCTAACATTATAATCCTATGCATATATGATAGCAATAGTTTTTATTGTGCCCAGAGGAATTTGCTGCCCTGTGTAAAGGATTCTGGCTTAATGTCCATGTTTCAATATTTGATAGAAATAATACATTCAGTAGTAACACTTGGTTGGTAGTGTTCTGATCAAAAGGTGAATTCTGGAATCTGTGTAAGTGAAATATCAGAGAATGTATTTCTAACGTTTCTTTAAATACATTTTGCAATCCTGCCGATCAGCAGTTTTATTGTAAGGGAAGGTTCTAAATCCAGCCTTATTAAAAAGCCATTTGATTGAATTTCATCTTTAAAGGGAGAGAAAAAGATACATACATGGATTAAAGCTGTTGAAGTGTCACTGATGACGTATGGCATGTGTGATTAAACAATAGTAAAATGCTATTGTGGACTAGAACTGGATTTAGTTACATGGTTGGTTTAAGTATTAACAATGCTTAGCTTTTCCAAGATCATTCCTTGTATTTATTAAGTACAAGCCTTGTCATTCTTTCATATGTCCCCAATGGCGTTTCAGTTTCCTTGCTTTTAAATCACTGTAATAGGAAAAATACCACCACCCATATATCTTTAAATATAGTTAGGCGCTATTTAATAAAGCATAATCAGTATGTCATCACTATATAGATTTTTCTTTTCTTTCCCTCTGCCTCAGAAAGCATACATGACTAAAATTTTGGTCTGCATGTACTATTTCAAAAGTGTTTTTAAAAACAAGAGTAATTTTTAAAAATAACTTTCAAGTGCTAATTTGTTTTATACAAGTCTCTTGGTAAACAGAACAAAAAGCAATACATATATACATTTTTCAAGTAGATTTGGGATTTTTCAACCCCTTTGATAAATGGCTAACATTGAACAAAGCAATACATAAAAATATGCAAAAAAAATCAAAAAGTACACATTAGAAATGCATTTTAAACCCTTTCCCTTTATCTTAAGCTGACAAATACTTAAAATAATTTATTTGCCTGTAAACAAGATAAAAGACAAATTCCCAAATTGCAAGCTATCATCCTTAATCCAATGTATCTTACCCTTTTGTTTCTTGTAATTGGCAGCATTTCTACTTTTGCAACAAGATGTTGCACATGTAGTTTCCCAAACATCTCTCTATCAGCTCATAATGTATTAATAATAAAAGATGGATTCATACCAATTGGTTGTTTAGTCTACATTCAGTCCCATTTTCCAAAAATATAAAGCGGTATATCTTATATATCCGAGATTAGCTACGGAAAATAGTGATTCTATTATTGTCTGCCCTACAAGGTAGGCCAAATCAGGAAACTGACCCCACAGGAAAGCTGCAGCTATACTGTACTCTTTTTGTGAGTAGCCTGTAATAGTAAAATCTTGCAAGTCTTGATTGTTTTCCTTCCCTATGTTTTATCCCTCTTTGCTTAGATAACGGTTCTTGCCTCTTTTCCCCAAGGCCATCTTTCTGATTCTCTACAATTATGCCCCAAGTTATAATTTCAAGACAGGTTATGATTCATCTGGCTAATTTCCTAAATAATTGGAATTGCTTTAATGTCTTGGTCACAACTGTAACCTATGCAAATGTATCAGTTGTTTTTAAGAGTACGAATTAAAATCCCGTGAGCACTTAATGCCAATTACTGGGATTATTACAGAGGCCAATTCATTTTATATGCCTAAAGCTTGGTAAATATAGAAGTTCCATTATGCCTTTTGTGCCATTGTGAATATTCCTTTAAAGGTATATTTAAGCAACACCAACTATAACACTAGATTATAGAATGAGAAATCTCAGGGATCTACAACTCTGATTTTTTCCCTCCTATACATATTAACTTTAACCCAAAATGTGCCATTTCCTTCTGCTACATAGGTCGTCTTCAACTTACAACCACAATACGACTTTTCTTCTCATAGCTGTTAAGTGAATCACTGCAGTTGATAAGTTAGTAACAAGGTTGTTAAGTGAATTTGAGTTCCCCATTGACTTTGCTTGTCAGGTCGCAAAAGGTGATCACATGACACCGGGACATTGCAACCATCATAAATGCATGCCAGTTGCCAAGCGCCTGAATTTTGATCACATGACCACGGGGATGCTGCAATGGTCATATGTCAATTTTTTCAGCGCCGTTTAACTTTGAAAGGTCACTAAATGAACAGCTGTAAGTTGAAGACTACCTGTATGTACATATTAGCTATGAGATGGGTCCCTGCTCGAAAAAGCAATGGGGAAGTAAGGGGCAATAGCATAGAAAAAGAATATGGGAAAGACATGCTTGGGCAATTTTATCAACCCACTAGGGCAGCGACCCCCAACCTTTTGGGCACCAGGGACTGGTTCTGTGGAGAGGTTTTCCTATGGACCGGGGAGGGTGTGGTTTTGTATGCTGCCTGCATCCCTCGGATGGGACTTTGCTTGTTTGTTGCAGCCTGGTTTCTGGCAGACCACAGACCGGTACCGGTCCATGGATCAGAGGCTGGGAACCCCTGCATTAAGGAATGTCACAATTTAACGATGGATTAAAAGAAATGATTTTAACTTTGGCCTTGAAGGAAAAAGAGGATAAAAGAGAACTGTAAGAGAAAAGAATGTTAAGTTCTATAGGCTAAGCCATAAAACACAGAAGCAGTACAGAGGGAGGGTGAACAGTGGTATTTCTGTATTAAATGTTTATACAATATTCCTCAGTTTGATTACAGCGCAGTCTTCTGGTACTAATTCTAACTTCTCAATTTCTATTTTTTGGGAGTTTCCTTAAATCCTGCACAAATATCCTAACTCAAACTCTAAAAGTAATTAATTGTATCTTACAATTTTATTATGTCTGGTGCAGCTTTAGGTATGTTTTTTTTCCCGCCAAATTTTTCAACCATTTTGTACATGAACATTTTCAGCATTCACGATTGAGGAGAAATTTATGTTAGCAAAAGTCATCTACCCCCTCCCTCCCCCATCTTGGGCTTCATAATCTTTGGAGTAGTTGATCCTGCTCTCAAACCATTGTTGGTGGCAGTGCTTTGCATAGTCTATCATAGAAATCAGCAAGGAAACAAACATGAGGTGAAATATTAGTCATAGGCATCAAAACAGCAAGTGAAAAGTCTGAAAAAAGTTTTGCAATTTGACAGTTGTGGAAAATGTGTTTCTGATAAACAGGTTGATAGAGGATTATCAGAATTACGTTTCTTCACACTTCTGGATACTGAACTGCAATATGCCTTATATAAGATCTGGTGCAACATTCAGAGTAATAAAGGAGGAAAGATTTGGTGAGTAGAAAATTCAGCTTCAGACAATTGGAAGAAAGCCATCTTAAGAGCATTAGTAATTCAACTCCTACTTGGTTTAAGGCATGAAGTGATCCTTAGAGATTATGGATAGAGATGGAAGACACATTGACTTGGTCTGCAGAACCCTTCCACTCTGGCTCTGATAAGACCACTTCAGCAACAGTGGTTTTATTTTCTCCGCCTCAGAAAAAAACTTCATTTCTAAAGCGTGGCTCTCAGAAGCATCTATTTCTGACTTCCTTTTTAAATTAATGACATCTATTTCTTTGGTCCTTACCTCCCAGGCATAAATTTTAGAAAGCGATGACTCATAAAACCTAAGAGACGGTGATGGTTTAGATTCCCACATAAACTCCCCTTGGTTATAGGAAACAAAACTAATTCAGTGCAAAATCATTCGTGATCCATCCAAGGATGCAGAACAAAAAGAATCCTGAACAATTCCTATTTTGGTTCATCACCATGTGAAAGAGTTGAGTGCTAAAGTCCAAGCAACCGTACTTCCAAGTTCAGTTATCTACTGGGGACTGAAAGGATGTTCATACCCAGGCAGGTCTGCCTTCACTTTGAAACACCTCCAACTGAGTTATCATGGGACTACTTTGAAACATGGGGTTTCCTGCAAAGAATGAATCCGATAAATAGAGCACCACAAAAACCCCCAGTAACTTCCAGTAAATTCCAGCTTGCAGGATATGGGCACTCATGGTAGGCAATAGATTGCCAATAAATCTGAAATTCTCCTCCTAATCTATAATTTCCAAAATATAGTAATTTCTGGCAACATCTGTTCTGAGACTCCAAATGATAGCCTGTCAAAATCGGTGAGAAGCCACACGAAGGTTTTTGATCTCAAGCTGTAGCTGTTTGATCTGGATATCCCGCTGGATCAGCACTTCACGGAGCCGCCGAATTTCTTCTTGCTGTCGATAAAACATCTGTAGCAGCTGGAAAGTAAAGACTTCATATGTCATTTGTGCAATCATACATTAAAATCATCTGATGTCTACGTGAAACTACAGAGTCAAGAAAGAGAAAATGACTATGATGAAAATTTAGACACAAATATGACTATTCCAACATGAAAATGGCATGCTTATACAAGAAAGTGCTATTTAAAAATAAATAAATAAATAAACATGCAGATTATGCTAAATAATATCGGAAAATATAATAAATATATCAATTCCTCCTCTAATATTCCAACACGAAAAACTGGCGGTGGGTTTAGGATCCAGTTTACCCATCAGCTACTCTTGCAGCAGAATATCCTTCATACTTCCCCTGCTGTCATTCATTCCTCATCTATCAGATATTTGAAATTGAGTGAGAAGAATAACAGAATAGAAATGTGTTTTATCTTGACCTCTATTCAAGTGAGAGGTCACAGCTGTAACATAGAATCGGTGAATTGAGCAGAAAGAGATATGCTTCTAAGAAATAATTCTATGTCACTTAAATCCAGTGAGGCATGCCCTCGTTTCCTACCTTGCTTGTACTTCCTGAGAAAGAAGCTACTTTTTTCTATTTTCTCTCATTTACTCACTAACATAATTTTTTCTGGGTCACACCACTGTACCTCATTTTCTGTTTTAGGTGGAGGACATTCGTATGCATCAACGCCGTTAGATAACTTCATTAGTCTGTTTTGCTGTTGTCTTTCCTCAGTCTTCCTGATCCCCCATTTCTCTTGGATTTTATTCAACTTTTCGGTGGTATCAATCACTCTGTCCCGGCCCTGGACAGGCTTAGTTCCTTCCATGGCAATCTCCTTTTCAAAAAATGGTGGTAAAGAATTCAAGATCACAGAGCCTGGTCTCAAAGACATCAAGACAGGACCTGCAGGCCACAGAGAAGAATACCGTTGTCTCAAGCAAATAGGAACAATGGCAACTAGTACTGAGTGGTCCTCAGAACCAAGCCACTAAATGCAAGAACAAAAGAAAATTTCATTCATTCCAAGAAGAGCATTTAGATCAGTTTGTGTGCTAGGACAATGTACACAGCACCAAAGCATAACCATTTTGATTCAAAGTTGATTCCCTCAATCCACAGGTGGAGATGAGGCAGCGTACAGGGGGAAGCTACAAAATCTATCCTCATGCTGTCTAGAGAATAACTTGCACCTGAACATCGGCAAGACAAAGGAGATGGTGTTAGACTTCCGGAGGAAAAGAGAGGAACCTGCCCCACTTTACATCGAAGGGGACTGTGTGGAGAGAATTTCCTCCTTCAAATTCCTGGGAGTCTACCTCTGTGAAGATCTTACCTGGAAAATTAATACAGCCCAGGTGGCCAGAAAGGCCCAACAGAGACTCCCACTTCCTCAGGGCTTTGTGGAAGAACAGGATAGAACGACGACTCATGACCTCCTTCTACCGGTCTACTATTGAAAGCGTTCTCACACACTGTATTGTGGTTTGGTATGCTGGCTTGACAGCCACGGACAGGAAAGTATTACAGAGGGTGGTGAGCACGGCACAAAACATCGTGGACTGTTCCCTGACACCACTGGATGACATCGCCAAGGCCCGTTGCCTTGGTAGAGTGAGGAAAATTCTCAGGGATGACTCACACCCTGGTTGGTACCTCTTTACTCTCCTACCATCGGGTAGGAGATATAGAAACATAGCCAGCCGTACCAACAGCCTGAAGAAGAGCTTTTATCCATGGGCTGTCAGCTCTTGAATGGGACATAATTTTATGCACGACAGACTCGTGAGGCCGGCTTGCTGTGCAATTAGTTTACAGGGTGTAATGAGTTGGGGGTTTGTAGTCACTGTGAGTTGGGGGGGCACGGAGGGAGGTTCAGCCAATCTCACTGTATACATGTTATACTTTGATAATAAAGATTCATTCATAATTAATTCAAATTTAGGAATATTGTATCATCTTGGGGTTTGGTATACAGCAAGGCCAGGTGAAATACAGCAATAGGCCTCACCCACAATCAAATTGACTGGAGTTGATACCTTTCTATTATATAACAATACCAGGATAGCAGATGCTGCAATAACCCAAGAAGAGGGGGTAATCCATTGTCAAAAGATCTGAAGGAAGAATTCTACTCCATACCTAATTACACAAGTGGTTGAACTTAGCTCTTCTTCCAAGATAGTTGGAACTCATTTTATGTTCAAAACAACCTAGATGTAGACTAGTTATTTAAGATTGTGGATAAAAGTATTGTACTCTGCCCATCGTACCACAGATTAACCGGTAATTGGCATACAAAACACACAATGAAAACTTTGGGTGATTTCTCACAGCTGACCTTTGTGCATTATTGTTTTGGAGCCCATGACATTTATAATTTCAGTCTTATGGCTGAATAAATTGTGTGGATCCTTCACATGCACACCTCTCCAGCAAATAGCTAAAACATTAGGCGTGATACCTTAGAATAGAGATATAGAGAACGTTATTGCTTTAATTGCTGAAGGACATGGCCAGTTTATTATGATAATTCTAAACACTGTGATCCAGATTATAGTACTGCTATTATGTGTACCTGCTGGCCTCCAGCCTTACCGTAGATCTGCCTTTAATATAATGTGATGCAGACAGATAAATGAGCAAAATCTTTTGTTTCTGACAGTTCAAGTAATTGTATCACAAACCTTTATTAGTGCCATTCAGCCAGTCTTGTGCTGTCAATGCTGGCTGGACCCCAGCTGTCATTGGATAGATGTCTTCCTGGTACGATTCAGACTGTAAAGGAACAGGAGAGTAGAGTCCCATTTCCGTATCTGGGGAACTACAGTATCCTCAGAATGAAGCCCCTCCCTGCCACATTGCCAAAGAAGAGATAGCCACTCACCCGGCGAGGCACAATCATAGAAATGGGTTCAATCAGGCTTTTGACCGGAATCAGTTTATAAAACCGGAAGATCTCACAGGCATAGACATCGAGACCCCTCTTGGGCATAACACCTGACAGCAGTTAAAAAAAAAAGTTATGACAAGTTCATATGACATTCCGCCAAAACATGGGTTTGGGAAATCCAACTGCTGCTCTTCTCTTCTGCAGAATATTCATGGAGGAAGAAAACAGAGAAAGCTGAAATCTTTCCCCTGACCAGTACTACACCCCAGGCCTAGCCAATTTTTTTTTTAAGAGAACACATTACTTCCATTTGTAATTTAATTTTTAAAAAGGTAACTAAAATGATTTTTCCTTTTCTGATCTTGTCCAGAATTGCTAGGTAACCATTTGAAAACCTCCCTGTCTCTTCTAGTTCCAGCCATTTCATTTCATTCCTCCTTCAGTCTCACGGTCTAAGAACTTGTGGAAGATTGATGTACCCATAATTATAATAACTTCTATAGTTGGAGGCTTGGGACCATCCACTCTCCTTCTATCCATGGACTGACAGTTATGCACAATCAGTCCTTTTAAGAAGGAGACTTTTTTGCTCTTCCAAACAGACTAGATGGAACCTCCTAGAGTTTGGAGTTGGAAGCAGGTGAAAAAGCAATTGTCAAAATTCTCTTGTCCTGCTGGCAAAGGTTTTCATTCAATCTTCCACTATCTGGTTCCTCCAGATGTGCTCGTCTACAATTTCCATCACCTCCTGCCAACACAGCCAGTGTCAATGGCGAGGATAATTTGAACCGTAATTCAACATATCGGGAGAACACCAGGTTGGGGAAGGCTGGTTTAATCAATATTCTGAGAGATAAAGACGCAGAAAAATGAATGTCATGAGCCAGTGCTGTGCAGCCATGACAAAAGTGAAGCCAGGGAAAATAGGCCGATGCTTATTATCTGCCTGTGACCAGCTGCCCCTCCCTCAATGCATCAGTCGTTCACAGGCACCCTGTTTTAGTTCCTCAGCATACAAACTGCAATGAAACGGCTGCAAACTTACCAATTCCTTTCTGAGGGAAAGGAGAGCGATATTCCGTCAGGTAATGGAGGTATGGTTTTTCCACATTTATCTCATAGTACCTGATGTTCCCATCTCCCTAAAGACAATTGTAAGAGATACACATTCAATGGATGCTCACTACCTCTTCCTATTAAGTTATATAGGAAAGCCAGGATTACACTCAGATGTGGACTTGATTAAATTATTTTTGGCCGTCCAGAATAACATGTGGCTTCTCTTTGTTGAGTCATGGCAGTTGGACTTCTCTTCTTGTTGTTTTAAATGTTTCTTTGCTTATACAAGTAGCTTCTTTAATCTGAGCAAATTGGTTAGGAGATTCTCATATATGTCCTCCAAGGAGGTTTCATCTTATTACCTAATCTGTATAGGCTTGTCAGGGATAGACTTGTTAGGCAAGACAAGAAACAATGGATGAAAACTAAACAAGGAGAAAAGCAACCTAGAACTAGGGAGAAATTTCCTAACAGTGAGAACAATTAACCAGTGGAGCAACTTGCCTCCAGAAGTTGTGGGTGCTCCATTACTGAAGGCTTTTAAGAAGAGACTGGACAGTCACTTGTCTGGAATGATACAGGATCTCCTGCCTGAGCAGGGAATTGGACTAGAAGACCTCCAAAGTCCCTTCCAACTCTGTTATTCTGTTATTCTGATCTTAAATCTTAATCAACCACCTCACGGGTTCACCAAGGAGGCCACACATAACCCACTAGGTAAAGGATTTAGGAGCTGGAGCATTTGCATCCCAATAACACTCTGCCTACTCACCTAACAAGCCTATCCAGATTAGGTGAGAAATAGGGCATAAGCCAAGGCCATATTCTAGATCAGAGGTCCCCAACCTTTTGGGCACCAGGGACCAGTTATGTGGGGAGAGGTTTTTCCGCAGACCAGAGGGTGCATGGTTTTGTGTGCTGCCTGCATCCTGCAGATGGGACTTTGTTTGTGCAGTTGCTGGCATGCCGCGGCCCAGTACTGATCCACGGACCGGGGGTTGGAGACCCCTGTTCTAGATCAGCAAAAATTATATAACAAATATAACTATCCTCCAGTTTTCTTGAGAGTTATAATGAGCGCAATCAGTCTTGGAGATTGGCACCATTATAAGTTTCTTATATATCTTGGATCTGTAGCTAACACAGCACATCCACATCCTAAATTCTGTCAGTAAAAAAAAGCGGGAGAGGAGAAATCAGAAAAACTGCAATATTGGACAAGCTGCACACTGGAGTAGCATCTCCTATCCTCAGCCAGGAGGACTTAACAAAACAAGAGTGTTTGTTGGGAGGGAGCTGGCAGGCAATACATCAGTGGGAATTCTGGGAGTTGAAGTCCACACAGTTTAAAGTTGCCCAGGTTGAGAGACACTGCTCTGCAGAAATGACTTATGACAGCACCGACTGTATTGCTTTGCAACTACGCAGCATATTGTCACCGCTAATTATTTCAACTTGGTCTACGGATAAAACTCACCTTGCTTAACACATATAACATATGTGTGTCTGTATCATAGAAAGGAAATAGGAGGCCTGATGACCCATCCACATCTTCCTCATGTAAAGGCACAGAAAGATCATCCTGTATATACAGATCACGGAAACAGAAGATTACTGCTATGTTTTTACTGTATCCAAAAAAATCAAGAGAGCACAAATAATGACCGTACCCCACCCCTCCAAATGGACCGTATTCTCACTGCAATGAAATGTTTGAATTTGTGCTAAAAAAAACTTCAGGCAGGAACTCCAAACCAACTAATTAAATAGCTTTTACAAGCAGGTCCAAGAAAGGGTGCTGAAGTCCTGTTTGGAGTGGGGAGGGCGGGAAGGTAGAATTTTGAATCATAGCAGTTCTCACTGCCAGGAATAATGCAAAGCAGACTTTCCCGTCAGAAAGAGAACTCGGGTTATCTGGACTTGGAAAAAATATATAACTGAGGCATCAATATCATCTCAAGCAGCAACACGGAGAACCGCAAAGTTAGGACATAAATACTGTATGACAGGAGTGAAATCTTAAGGCAGTGATGGGGAACCTTTTAGAGACCGAGTGCCCAAAAACTGGCCCTGCCCCTGCTCCACCCCCTGCCCTGCCTGCCCGTAGAGCCACTCACCGCCTCCAGGGCCCACTGGAGATCGCCCAGGCAGCCCAGCAGCGCCATGGCGGCCACGCCCTCTGCCCACCCCCACCCCCCCGCAGCATCAACTGTGCGCGTTGGGGCATGAGGGCAGAGTTTTGTCTACACTGCCTGGCTGCCATGTCCTTGGCTGCGCTGCTCTGTGTGGGCGACTCTTCTCCAGGGAGGCTGCTGGTGAGGAGGGGGTCACAGGTGGAGGCAAGGCTGGGGCAACGGCACGTGTGCCCACAGAGAGAGCTCCGAGTGCCGCCTCTGGCACCCGTGCCATTGGTTCGCCACCACTGTCTTAAAGCATTCTGCAGGCTTGGCTTCCTCCTGGCACTTTAAATGATGTGCCTCTAGCAGCGAATGGGCATTCTACCCTATGATTATATGTCAAGCAGAACCTTCACTTTCCTTCATGTCTCTACACTTTAAAGGCAGGGCTCTCCAACCTTGGCCACTTTAAGACTTGTGGACTTCAACTCCCAGAATTCCTCAGCCAGCATTGCTGGCTGAGGTATTCTGGGAGTTGAAGTCCACAAGTCTTAAAGTGGCCAAGTTGGAGACCTCTGCTTTAAGGGATTAAATTAAAGACTATGAACTGGTTGATCTTGGTGGTGTTATAGGGGGTGAGCTAATCGGTGCTGTGCATTTCCAGCTTCTGCTGGAAATACGTAGTACTCTGTGATTCCCTCACCCGAGAGATGACTGCTGAATCTAGGGGAAAAAAATAAGTGCATTTGAATCGAACATCTGAAAGGCAATCCCAGAGCAATTCGCTATTTTGGAAATGTTCCAGGGTTTACCTATAATTACCAATTGTGTTCTGATCAATATACATTTGCAGTAAGAATTTTCAAATTCAAGCAGACTCAGATCACAGAAATCAATTAAGTGCAAACCATACTCTTGGACCGACACAAGTTTATTTGGAAATTTATTACAGCATGTGTTCTTTATGAGATGAATGATACCTTTTCACCTCCTACAGACAGTTATATGGGAATGATTAATATTTGTCTATTAAGGCCCCATTGAGACCCAGAAGATCTGTGCATAAAAGTGAGCTAGCAATGGAACCAGCTGCTTCAGAGGCTGTGATATAAGAGGAGAATGCTTGGAGTAAACTAAAGCAGGGATGTCAAACTGCCAGCCCACGGGCCGGTTGCATCATGCAGAGGCTGCGCGCACACCAGCTCCAGCAATGCAAAAAAAGTTGCAATATGTCGCAACACGTCACGTGACGCGGCGAGTTTGACACCCGTGAACTAAAGGATTCAGAAGGCAGCTGTTCTACAGTAGATCTTCCCAGCAAGCAAAGTGATACAGATCATTTTCAAAACAGAGTTCGGAGTTCTCTGTCTTAATTTGAATTGCAACAACTTTGCAGTCTAACCCAAATTCTGGTCAAAGTAAAGCAAACATAAGAACTAAAGTTTAGGCAATCAGCTCCTCCTTTTAAAGCAGCAAGATACTTACAGTATATTATATAACTGTCCCCAAAATCTGAAGGGCATTAACCTTCAATGCACTTCCCACGGCAGTTTTGTAGGGCTGATACAAAAAATATTATATGAGCTGAGATTATGCCCCTATGGACAAGGGGCCATTGAAACTACAGCTCATGTCTTGCTATACGGTACCTTCTATAAGGTGTCTTTCTAACACCCCACCTAATAAAATACCCAAGAAATGCTGCTCTCTCTTATGTACAACTACTGTTATTAGATCAGCATAAAGTAGTTTCTTTGAACATGGCCAAATTTTGTTATACTGTATGCAGAATTAGGCAGCCTCTAACTGCCCACTGATAATCCACCCCTAATCGTAAGATATTATTTTGTCTGTTTTTAAATGTTATTATTGCTTTTAATGCATTTATTTGTCATGCTGGTCTGTGACCATAATAAAAATTGATAGATTAGGCAATCAGCCCAATTAAATGGTCAAGCTTTTCCTAGCATGAACCACTTTGGACCCTGGGATACAGTTTCATCTTTGAATGCTTCTTCATAAGCGTAAGTTCCCTCTGATATAAAAAAGCAGTCTGAGAGAAGCCTCCATAAGAAATACATCTAAAGGAAGTTGCAAGTGTGTCCCAGAGTCACACCCGTTTAAAGTGTAGATGAGGCTGACACAAGCAATTCCTCTTTATCCTTCCAAAGCTTTGCTACTATCACCTCTGAACAGCTAAAAAGAATGAATTAAACAGTCTTTGGTTGTCAGCCCCAGCTCCAAGAAATAAGTTTCAGACCAAGAAATCAGTTTCAGAAGAAGATTAAAACAACTTTTATTGAGATTGGCTGTTATAGTAGGGTCTTGCAAGTATAATTGAGTTGTACCTCTTCCCCTTATACCAGGGGTGTCAAACTCAATTTCATTGAGGGCCGCATCAGCATTACGGTTGCCTTCAGGGGGCTGGGTGGATGTGGCCAGGTGGGTGCGGCCTACTGGGTGGGTGTGGATGGAGTGGGTGTGGCCTACTGGGTGGGCGTGGCCAGCTCTACATCGTTCATGTCAAGGATGCCTGTGGGGACCTGGGCAGGAGTGGGACAGATCTGAGGGTCTCTGGCAGAAGGAGGTGGGACCAGGGCAAGTGCCAAGGCATGGTCCACTGGAGGAGCCTCACTGTTCCTCTCAGGCCATGCGGGGGTGCTGGGGGCTGGATGGTGGTGTGGGCTGCCCGAAGCCCTGGGTAGCAGAGGTCAAATGCCCAGCCTGGCCCTTGAGCACCCATGGCACCAAGCCCAGCCCCACTTCCTCAAGGCTGCTGCTCAAGGTTCTCCTGATTCCTCACTGTTTCCAGACAGCCTTGTGGAGCTAAGACTGAATGCGTTTCAGCATAGATGGCCACCACAAAATTGTACATTGGCTCCCAGCTGGCCTGGGCCAGGGCCAAGGCAGAGGGGGCCATTCCCTCACTGTTTCCAGGATGGCTTCGCGGGCCACATGAAATCACTTCGTGGGCCGCATCCGGCCCCTGGGCCTTGTGTTTGACATGTCTGCCTTATACTTTAGTGAGTTAGGGACGTGACTGTCTGGGCTACCTCAGAATGTTCTCTGGACATTCCGGAATTAAAACATGTTTTACTCCTTGCCACTTTGGCAACAAAGCTTGTGTACCTCTATCAGGGTCATCTTCCTTACTCTCTATATCAGTGATCTTACAGCTGTTTGCCATAAACTCACCTGATTCCACAAAGCAATCTGCCTATTATTCCACCTGGATGTCCCTGTGGTGAGCAGCCTTTTCAGGTTTCCTAGAAACACAACTTTATTCACTCGGTGAGATTTGCTGCTAGCTTCCTGTAAGAACGCAGAGCATGTTAAATTATAGGAAATCAAATACCCCAAATATTTCTCCTGTCAGGGAAATCTGCCTACCCCTAGTTAATTCTTCAGTCTTCTGAAATCTCTCCACAATCACCCAAGTTCATCTCCCTTACACTCCCTAGTTGAGCCATTTTAAGAAATATTAGCAGATGAATTTAAAAACAGGCTAATTAAAAATAGGCACATGCGGCCCTGGACCTCTAGTAATGTGCCCCCGCCAGGATAGTAAACTTTTAACATTATCTACATTTATATACATTAGCTATATAATATATTTTATATGCAGCCAAAGACAATTCACTCAATGCAGCCCAGGCAACCCAAGAGGTTGGACATGCCTGGCCTACATCATGGGGCTTCCTATCAAACCATTTTTGTCCACTATGAATTGAGGACCACTTGAATGAATGATCAGAACTGAGAAATTATGCAAAGGACAGGCCTACTAATGGCCCATCTTCTACACCAGGGGTCTCCAAAGGTTGGCAACTTTAAGACTTGTGGACAAAAT